CAGAGATCAATTACAAAATTTGACATCAAATGCCAATTTTATAATAACCAACTTAGGCAATAAAAATTTTTTAGGACTTGATTTCTAGCTTCAACTGAAGACATAACATTGTTTTCACACTCAAAGTATCAGTTTGAATAAACTCATCGTTATTTTTATTGTTATTCAAGGCCAGCATCCTCGTCTTGGTATGATCTGGCCTTCTTCAGGTATCCGTTGGTTAACTTTTGGGAATTGAAATTTAAACCAAAGCCTTTAATCTAATCCATGGGAGTAAACTGTTCTCATTTCACTGTATAACATTAGGTGATAATTCATAATACTCACCATTGGAAGAAACTGAAAAGTGACACAAAGGCAAATATAACTGGTAAGTATTAACTAATATGAAATATACCTCAAGTAAAGAAAAGAAAAACAGAACTACCTACTTCTGTGAATAGAATAAGGAGTTTAGTTCAAAATTCTGAGAAGTTTACCATGGATAACAACAGACACCTGAAGAAGGCCAGAGTATACAGTGGCCGAAATGTTGTGAATATAATAACGAAGATAAGCATGCTGGTCTGAATATCAAAGCATATAATTATAAAAAACAGATGACAAATCACTTGGAAGAATACATTATCATCCCCCCGCCTCACCTCCACAAATTCATGGCAATTGTGTTCTGGGATGCAGAAAGCGTTCTGTTCAGGTTCTTCATACCACATGGTTAGAGAGTTATAAGGCAGTCAGATTAAGAAAATTATAACAAATTCCTTTATTATGACTTCTGGGGGTTGGCACCCTAGTCTGAATTAAAAAAATACTGTAAAGAATTACACTCTAACATTTAATAGAAAAAAAAAGGTGGGAAAACACTCGCTAATGAATGGAGTGGACAGCAGAATTAGACCAGAAATAGGAAAGAACAGTATGGGTTCATTAAAAGACACTGGAACAAGGAATGTAATATTCATGCTCAGAATGATAAAGAAAACAGATTTTTTTCTTTTTTTAATATTGTGCACCAAATACAAGACCCAAGAGCCATTCACGGTAGAGAGTTACTAAATCAGGTTGTTGTAGGGGCATACAGAGAGGTGAATATTATGAGGATATGTAGGATAGAAGACTTGAAGAGGTTAAGATTGTAGTTATTAGGGAAAAATCCTGTTGGGTGCCTTTTCTACAATGCAACAGTTCTGTGGAACTGAGTGAAACATCCTCCTCACAAATGGAACATGAAAATGCAGATGAATCGATTCAGTGTGAGAGAACTGGTGCTAGCTGTGAAGGTCCAAAATGGTGGAATCAATGAACATAGCTTGTCTGAATATTTGCTATGAAAATAGGGATATAATAGGGAGTGGCAAGCAAGGTTTCATCTGTGGGAAAGGAGTTTTAAGGTGAAAAACAATTCATTACCCACAAGGCCTGTTGAGGCTGGAAAGTGAAGAGTGGGCATCTCCAAACTAGACATGACAGCAATACTCCATTTTTAGTTTGATCAGACTCTCAGAAAGATATAACATGGCAGAAGGATTCAGGTAATTTTTGGAGTGGTACAGGGAACCGACTATTTTCCCAGCATATTTAGTGATGGGTTGTATATATGAGGCTAGCGACTTCAAATATTGTTCCAAGGACCCATGTTCAGATAATCGCAGATGTAGAATAGTGACTTTGAGCATTGTTTTAAGGACATACTCTATTAGATACTGATATGGAATATGAAACTAAGCTAGTAAATTATAAGCATTGTTCCAATCACCCATATTAGGATAATTCCATTAGATACTGACAGAGAATATGAAGTTAGGTTAGCGATTTCAAGCACCCACATTCAGATAATTCCATTAAATATTGACATAGAATAAAAAACTAGGCTAAAATAGTAAATATCAGTATTTCAAGCAAAATGCTGGCACAGCAGAGAATAGAAGGATTACTAGAGGAACACATTGAAAATCAGGAAAAGGATTGTCAGAGATCAAGAAACTCAGCCATGATGCTGAATACCAGTTTTGTTTCCAACAGACTACACCAGCATGGTTACTAAAACCTTAATCAAGGTCAGGGTCATACCAACAAATTTCCATCTCTTAGTTAATGTAATGACAATGCTTACATTTAAAACAAATATATTAAAATTATACTGATCAGAACATTGGTTTAATAGTGGTGAGAAAACAATCAATTGCTAAGCAAAATATTATCAAGAGACCAGAAATAGGACAAGAACAGTATGGGTTCATTAAAAGACACTGGAACAAGGAATGTAATATTCATGATCAGAATGAGATCAGAAAGAGCAATACAAATGCAAAGGAGTGTATACCTGGCATTTGCAAACCTGCGCTTACAGAAGGTATTTCAAATAATGAACTGCAAGAGGTTCTAATAAATGGAACAACATTGGAATTGCCAAATTTACCTGCATATTCGCAAGGTGTGGAAAAAGCAGTTAAATTAAGTACTAGAGCTTTACAAATCATATATGGACAAGAAGTAAGGCACAGACACATTATTACTAAATCATTGTGCCATTGAATAAGACCTTCATTTATTTCAAATGGAAATTATACTGAACAATTTATCTATATTATGATGTAATATGTTGAACAGTGCAGTAATTTTAGTGTATTTTTCAATAAACAATGTAAATTTAAATCATTTTGTCTGATAATTGGCATCCAGCAGTTTTATGGTGTTATATACACTTATTTTTTGCTTTTATTAATTATATAGCCTAACAAATGCTGTAAGAACTTATTGATTAGCCTATTTTGTAGTCATTTACAATTTTCAGTTATCACTTATTGAATACAGGAAATAAATTGCATATTTTGCTTGTGGTGATTCATAATTAGAATTCTGGTTTGAATATATTTTCCATTCAATGTATCTAATATAAAAAATATCAACTTTATTTCGATCTATTCTTGAAATAGTACAATTTTGAAGTCAGTCTAAGCAAAAACCTGCAGAATTAGGTATTTCTGTACATTTTTTCAGGTGACCGTTAAATCTAAAGGATCAAAAATTGGTAAATTCTATGAATCTAATTTTCGGTGTCAGTACTTATCACATCAATCCCCAGTTTTTGCACAGAGTGCAATGTTGATTTTCTTAAAAAAAAAAAAAAGAAAAAAGAAAGGCAAATCAACCTGCCCTAATGTTGTAGAGATTATCCAAAAGTCTCTGATGAAGTACATAAAGGACTGTTGAAACTGCCAATTAGCTTGATATATTTGGGAAGGATATTAGGGTAATCCAGAACTTATGTTGGGAGCAAACCATCCGCATATGGATAGAATATGAATTCAGTAAACATACAAAAATAGAAAGAAGTGAAAGACAAGGATGTGTCTTCTTAATGAACTTATTCAACCTATACAGTAAGACAATTCTGAGAGAATTAAAAGTCCTACTATGATCCATTTTTGACAGCCACAATTCATATGCAGATGACACACTGATGGCAGCAGACATAAAAAGGAAACTACAGGAACTCTTACAGAAGGTACTGAAGGAAAGCACAAAGAAAGGACTAAACATCAATTGCAAGAAGAAAGAATGCATGGTTGTCAGCAAAAGGAAGAGGCAAACATGTAAAATACAAACTGGAGATAACAAAATCAAGCAAGTACAAAAATTTAAATATCTGGGAAATGTTTTAATAGAGGACGGAAAGTGAGATACTGAAATCCTAAGGGGCCTTGAGATAGTGAAAGATGCCTTCCAAAAGCTAAGTAAGGAACAGGATAATTTCATCCGAAACAAAGAAAAGAATACTGAACTGTGATGTAATATCTATCCTCTTCTATGGCAATGAATACTGGACAATCTCCTCACAGATGAAAAGAAATCAAGCAGCAGAAATATGGTGCAACAGAAGGATGTTAAGAATACCATGGACTGAACATGTGAGCAACAATAAAGTTTTTAGAGAAAATGGAAACAAAAAGGACACTTATACTTAATATCACAGACACAGTAGAAATTTCTAAGGCTCATAATGAGTGGAGCAGGCTTAGAAAATTTGACACTCACAGAACATATATTGAAGCCAAGAGGGACAGAGGAAACCTAACGAACTTGTGTATGGTTGACAAAATAGGGATTAGGAGAGATAGCAAAAAGACAAAATTTACTAAGAACTATAAAAAAAGACAAGAAATTTTGGGCGAGTTATGATCGCCAATGTCCTGTAGTCATTTTTAATGTCTTTTCAAAAGACATTCAAAATGACTTTTTTTAAAATTAATTCAGAACTCAAAAGACTCTCTTGAGTTCTGAATTAAAAAAAAAAAGTATTCCTTGGAGTTGTAAAAAACAAATTATTTAAAAAAAATTTAAGCATTTATATTGCAGCAAATTTAATTTCAAGGATAATATTTTTTTATGGAACTAGATTTTACAAGCATAATAAACTAGAGAAAATACACTGGGTTGAATTTTAAAGTATGAAAGTTTAAAAAATAAGAAAAAAAAAAAATCCCTACAACGTTTAAATTCAGGACTTTGGTTTTTAACTAAAACTATCTGACGCAAAATTTGTATATTTTACAAGTATACGAATGGACAAAGTAAAGATTACACTACAAATAGCGAAGGGAGGGTGTGAAAGAAATCTGAATGTAAAAATGTAATGATGACTTGGCTCACAAGCAGAGTCAGTTCTCCATTGTTTCAAAATTATTATTATTTTTTTTTTATAGCAGAATTTGTAAATGTTGGAATAATTATTCTAATAAAAATTTAAACTATAACTTCTGGAATTTTATTTTAATCAACGATTATTTAACCCTGCCGAAAATAAATAGATAAATTGAAAACTCAAAGCACCATACGGAAAAAAAAAAAAAAAATTTGATCAATTTTTTTTTGTCCCTATTTTCCCTTAAATGAACAAAGATTGAAGCAAATAATAATCTTCATTATAATTTTGTTTTTAACGTTCCACAAACAGAAATAATCCTTATTTAGGGTCTTTTCCCTCTGTCTTTACTAACCTGAGTCTTGACTTTATCAGACATCAATTTGATCCGCTCAATAGCAGAAACTAATTCGAAAGCCTTCACCGACATTGTTTGTTTTCTTGGGTAAGAAATCGAAGTGTGGAAATTATGAAGGCATGGGCAGTAGAAGGAGGAAGCTGGATTCCCTAGTTGTTGGCCGATCCGACTCGCCGAAAGTAAAACGACAGTGGCTAGACAAGAAAATGAAAATAATAATAATCCGAACCAACAAGCATCAACTGAAAGTAACAACACACGCCATTATACTGATAGCGCCACTGACACGCCTCCTGAACTAAGAGCAGATAACTCTACTTGCCCAACGAATAAATTTCATCTGAACATGCAAAAAAATTACAATATATATGACTATAAGATAAAGTAAAAAAAATAATTCCCACTCAGTAAAATCGCATCATCTAACTGTTAAAGTTAAATTGTGTATAATATACATTTCTATTTAAAACTTGATGCTTTTACATGCAATTATTTTTTATTGAGAGAATTTTAGAGACAATTTAATAATTTTGAAAAAATTTAATTACTCCCTCTCTGGAAAATGGTATCTCTGAAAAAAGTGAAACCTAACCTTTAAAAATAAAATGCATTTTAAAAATTAAAAATATTTCTCGAAGCTTTTATTTCAGTTTTAATTCCAAGCTAATAAATTAAATTTTCCAATAAGCAAAATATTTTGCTGTATTTCAAAGTGAAATTAAATTGATTGGAATAATTTTTTTATGATTATTAGTAAAATCGATGAAATCGTCCATATTGACAAATCTGTCAACATAATATAATTCTATCAATCAAAAAATCTTTCAAAAATAAAATATACTTTTCTGAAATGTTATTTGAGAAAAAAATTGATAATTTAAAGTTTACTTAATCTGAATTGAAACAAGTATTACTTACCTTTAGTTTAATATCACAGAAAAGCATTTTTTAACATGGAGGTGGGTGTTTTATGAGGTGTTGACACATTTACTGACAGTCTGATGTTAGGGAATTTATCTAGGGAGGAGATAATTGCATTAAAATTACATGACAAATACAATGTAAACATTTTTATATATTCATATTCACACACACACACACACACATATATATATATATATATATGGTGGACTCACCTGTCATATTCAACATATGAGGGTAAAGCAGCTCAGTTCCCCGGAACCAACAGCCAGACAATATGATTTGATTATAGTGGTGGAGGCTTTGTACAGAGCAAACCATATCTTTTGAAGGGCCAAATACAGAGACCTGGTGCACTATGTGACACAAGGTCCCCAAACGACCCTCTGCAGGTTTTGAATTCAGAGTTGTCCTTTTCATAGACCAGTTGCCATCCAAGGCTATAGAACCCACTCTGTCTTGCTATTTACCGATAGCTGGAGGAAGAAGAGGATTAATACCTTTCAATCCGAGCTGCTATCTACTACTCCACTGTGCCTCCTCTCTCTCTCTCTCTCTCTCTCTCTATATATATATATATATATATATACAGGGGCATAGCAGACAAATATTTGAGGGGGGTGGGAAAATTTAGAATTTAGCCTTAAACGCTGCTAACATGGTTAGCAGCAAGAACATTTAAAGTTTCCAGTACCTCTAGATTTGTGAGAAATTTAATGACTTCCCAAATTGAGTCATGGCTGATGAACAAAGACGAGACAATTGAACAGTTTAAAAAGCATACTTTATATAAGAAATAAATTATACAATGTGAATGAAAATATAGAATTGTTAAAAACGTATTCCTTTAGCAGTTATGGTATCGAGGACAAAGTCTAAATATATGTTTGAAATTGATTGAAACACGTATCTGATGCTGATCATATTCTTCTTCCGATTGCAGCATTATTCAGGTTTGCTTGTGGCCAGCATCGCCTGTTCTTGGAGTAGGCTAAAAGCATGTCTGTTCAGTTTGTCGTCTTCAGGGCCTCTCTGTTGGCAACTAAATTCCATTTGGTGCCTAAATTTGGGTCTTACACATTATTATCAGATAAATGGACCTATCTCCTCACCATCAGGTCTTATCAACCAAGGGAAATAACTTATATTTTTTATATACTCTCAACACATGGAAAAACATGCAATTCAGCATTCTATTGCATGTTGCCTGTTCATAACATCAAAACACAGTTCTTTCTTCTTTTTTTAAATACAATTAGCATTTCAATAAGCATTTCTTTTATTAATACAATATTTGGTATATAGATATAAAACCAATTCTTTATTAATACAATAAGAATTTCCACAAATTCAACAGATCAATATGAAAAAAATTTCTACACATTTGTCAAAATAACGACCAACATTCATATTTATGATTATTTTTGCAATATTTTGTTAAATTTGCTCGTCAAAAACATCAAATAAAATATTTGGTATATGACGATGAAGTCAGTTCTTTTATTCATACAATAAGCATTTCAATATGCATTTCTTTTATTCATACAATATTTGGTATATAAACTCAATTCTTATAAAATCAATTCTATATTAATACAAGAATTTCCACAAATTCAACAGATCAAAAAAGAAATTGTTACTCTCAATATATTTGTATAAACTTGACAATTAACTTTTTTTAGAACTATTTATTAAGAATAACTTCACTGAGTATGAAATATCAATAATAATATATCAAGGACCATCATATGTCATTCAACATTATTATGGCTGATTCCTATTAAATGTAAGCAGAAGTATCCTCCTCTTTTTTTAGACATTTGTAAATTTGCTAAATCAATTTAAATTATGCTCCTTTTAGTTGCTAGGTAGAGATTCTTAGCTTATGTGCTATATGTACACAATAAAATTTTATTAAACAATAAATGTTATATTTTACCCTCGTTAAGGTATTTCAAGCATTAGTTATACCAATTAAAATGACATTAGTCTTTCTTTTGTCATTTGTATTTATTTTCATGACACTACATTTTATTATTTATTCATTGTATATTTTTGGACCCCATTTATGTTTTTATGGGTGTTTGCATGATTAAAAAAGGATATCTTTGTAGTTACTTCAGTTGAACCATATAATTTTTCCATGGAAGCCCGTCATCATGAGGCAGATCAAATGTTCAAGGTTAGTTTGTCTTCAAGACAGAATAACCAAACATGGGTAAATTGAAGTGCATTTTGGTTGGTGATTCTTATGAGAAGTGTTTTGTTTAATTAGAATTATTATTTGAGCAATGCCCTGTTGATGTTGTTTATACATCTTGTTGGATCATTTCATTAAAGTATTGGTAAACTTCAACCATGATGATAAATATAATGCCATAAAACAATTCTCCTGTGTATGGGGTTTTCCAGTTGATTGCATGTAAACAGCTTAATGTCATATCAAGGACAACCCTAACAAGTACTATAACTCCAGGTCAGAGTGGACATGGGAGTAATGACAACCAAGTGGGGCCTTGTCACTGGATTTAATTTAAAGCCTTAACCAGGACTGGATTGATGTATGAATGGGTGCAGTTCAAAGTCTTACCTAGGATAGAATTGGTCATAAATAACCATTAAGAAATGAATGCAGTTTAAAATCTTACCCAAGACTATTTTGATGAATACCAGATTCCAGATCCTTAACTTGAAAATACTGATGAACAGAAAAAAAAACTGTCTGTTGCTGACAATACCGACTGAGTTTTTCACTATGAACAATAAATTTTTGCATTATTTCAAGTGATCCTTTGCATTTTGTCAAAATGTAGCATTTATAAATTTAATACTTTTGTCCACTGAAGCAAAATGTTTTCTTACATGCATGTTAGCACTTGTTTTAAATCTTGTACCCATTCTTAATTTCTTCTTCATATTTGGAGATTTTGAATTACTAACATAGATACCGTTTAATGACTTGTTCAAGGACAAGTTTGGACCAAATATGAATGAATAGGATAAAGTTGCTAGTTTAGTCATACTTAGAAGCAAGTTGGCCAGAATTGGGATGACCATTAAGTGGTCAGTAAGTGACCAAAAGAAATGGATGCCATTTAAAGTCTTACCTAGAACATTTTTTTAATACACAAATTCTTTACTGAACTTCTTGATATTTTGCTTAGTTCTTCAGATAGTTTGAGAACCAGTGTTTTGCAACACTTTAATACTTCCTGGCATAGGACTTTTTTTTAGTATTATGTGTTAAGGAAAGTTCCAATAGAAACAAATGTTGTATATTATGAGTCTCATAAGATACATCTCCTCTAGCTATGAAAAGTTCAGTCATCCTGTCAAGTTTCCAGAATGGTCTGGCTTTTGCAAGATTTTTAATTGATACTATATTGTTTACTTGTATTTTATTATTAAAATCTATATCATGTAGATCCTTGCAACTTTCTCTTTGACTCAAAAGATATTCCTCATCTGATAGCTCTCTGAAGCCGGATAACAATTTTTTATAGCAAGACAAGAGAATATTATCAAATACATTTTTTTCATCTTTTCCATTTCTGTGTACCCACAGGTGTCCTGTGTAATTAATTCCTGTGTTTTCATAGGGGATGATCAGGTTCACATGGTGTTTAGGCAGATTAGCCAACCTGGGATACTTCAAGGACAAACTGTTGTATTTCTTGCAAATGGTGCATTTACTCAGCTCTGTCTTTACTGCCTGCCTAGCTTGAGGGATCCAGAAACCAGTCATTATGATTTGGGTTATGGTGGTACTAATCCCTAAATGTTTGGCTTGCTTGTGGAATTCATTAATCAGTAGTTCTGTATCAGGATAGCATTTTGCCAGCTGATTAGGCTAGAAAACTTCATATCTATACTTGTTAGAATTAGCAATTCTTCTGTCCATTCTGAATATATCGTCATGATCCATAAAAACATTGAGATTTTTCACCAGACAAGTTTTGCCCATTGCTGGGTCTTCCAGAAAGGATAATTAATCAGGGAAATTTTTTTCTGTGTGAATTTTATTAAATAAAATTTTGCTTGTAGCAGGTATCAATTTGACCCCGGTTTTTTCATTTGTAAATGAACCTTAATACTAAAGATGTGACTGTCTATATTTCTGAGATTAGATATTATGTACATTATTTACATTA